TCTACTTTATTTCTGATCTTAAAACTTGAGATTTTTTAAATGTTTTCATATATAGTTTGGGAATGAGAAAAAGAAATAGTTTTTTGCCTGATGACTTTTACTTATTCAAAGATAAAATGGGTGAATTTTGAAATATTATTTCAGAAATAATTAATATCTAGTCCTTGTGAGTTACACTGATAGCTAACCTGAATAGAAGTTGGCAAGCTATTCTCATGTGGCTTCACAGCATGTTCACTGATAGATGTGTTTTTAATCATTTCATACCAAAAAAGAAGATTTCACTAGAGTAAATTGAAGATTAGAGTGAGACCTGATGAAGGCTAGTTTGTCTTAAATAATTCAGCAAACACTTAAAATGATCAATTCTATATTCAGCTGATGATTTCACCTGTATGTTCACATTGAGGATAATTCAGAACCTATTAATGTTTTCACTGCTGTCTAGAAAATATCTTAGAATATTTGAAGAGCTGTTCCTGACACTTACTGCTTGATTGCAGCCATTTCAGTTTGGTTGAAATCCTACAGTGGCAAAGTCTATCAGCACTGTGAGATATTTTAATTGTGTTAATTTCCATCTGTAGAATTTCTTTTGTAATCCTTACCTTCTTCTGCTGTCTTTCTTCACGTGTATGCTGCTTTTTCTTTTCAGTGCTCTCCATCAGCAATTTGAGCCTTCCCAAGAATGTTGTCAAAGATTGACTTAGCACTATACATCACCTGTGACAGTTAAAATATATACATGTCAAATTAAACCACTTAAATAGTTTGACTATAAAGGGAGAACATCCTTAACTCTTACAGTGTTGGTATCTTTTAATAGGCTTTTATAGGTGTCATTCTTCTATTCTGTGCTGTCAAAACTATTTTGAATACCTCTAGTGCAGCTAGCAAAATGTAAAGATAAGTAAAAAATAAATTGTCTTATGAAGTTATGATGTTAGCTCAGATGTCTGGAAGTGGTGATTGTTTCATTTGGCAAGGGTATAGGCTCTCACAGTTTTCTTCTTGGCAGATCTCTCTACAACTGGACATCAGTGAGGTTATCTCTCTTGAATAGTCCTCATCTTTTGTCTCTAACTGATCAGTGATTCAATTGCAGACTCCTCTAAGTGTCTCAAGAACTTGTCTTGAATCTGATTTGATTCACACAGTGAAAATTTGTTCATTTCACACAACATTACTGATAAAAATTGGTGTTGTATTGTTTAGCTTTATCAGATGTATGTTTTTCATTATGACCCAATGTAGCTGAAAACTATCACGTGTTGGTAGACTGGATTTTCTTTTACCCATTGTATGGCAAAAGAAAGCAATAACAGTGCCTTCAAGTGGGATACAGATACTATGGAGCAATAGCATGTAATAAAGAAGGAAAATTGGCTTGTCCCTTCTAACAACCAGCACTAGCTCAAGAAAAGTGTGATCTCTATCCAGAGAGGCTCCTTTCTTCTCTACTAACCCATAAAGGGTGAGGAGGGATCTAGGCTGCTCCCCTTACAGTCACTCAGGTGCATTGCTCACATCTGAGCTCCCTTGGTTAGCAATGCCTTTTCGCCTGGTGCTCAACCATTGGTTCAGGCTGTGACCTAGCAATTCCAGTGCATCAACCAATTCTAGTTGCAGCAACCTTATGGAATATGCTATGGCAGTTTGACAGTATTCATACTCGGGAGTGGCAGTTTCCTAAGAACAGAATAATTTTTCTGTAAGAGCCCTTAACATTTGTCTGGAATCTTGGATCCAAGGAAGATGATGTGAAAAGATGGTGTATTTTACTGTGAAATAATTTCTGAGCTTAGATGTTTTGACTTGACTATGAAATATAGACTGCATTTGAAATTGGAAAAAGAATAAAATCCTGAAAGATTGTAAGATTAATAGAAAAATGTTTTATACTTTAAAGAATATGGCATTAAACCACTAAATTTGGTGTGGATTATACTGTGTTTTTATCCCTCTGTTTATTTTCATGCCATCAGTAATCATGAAAGAATCAAAAAGAGTTGTCCCCAAAGTAGACTTTCTACACTTATTTCTTGAATGATACTGCTTTAAGACTGCCATTATACAGGAAAAGATAAATTTCTTTATGACTTTGTTTTCACTCTCTTAGCGTTTAGGAATAGATTGCACGCCTTCAACTCAACTTGAAACCATGTCATCCAGGTGGCTTATGCCACCTGTATTGGTTGCAGCATTGCTTACTGCCTTCCAAAACATCCTTCCTGGCTTTGTGCAAAATCTCTTCCCATGCTAACGGTTTTAGATACCTGATATCTACATGTTTTACTATAGAGTTGCCATTTTTTCAGTGCTGAGAAGTTTTAAAGCATCTAAACTTTGGTGTCTAAGAAGAGTAGATACTTGTATTGGGCTTCAGGAGAATTTGTATTTGGGTTGGCAGCAGGGCACAATATTCTGCTTCATTAAAAATGCCAACAGTCTTTGTGAAACTGATTTTCATGTTGTGATTTGGACATGTTAAGAAAAGGTATTTTGTTTTGATGTGATCAGTAGAGGATCTTGATGTATAGATGCTGAACAACTTCAAGGTTTTTTGGGAAGTTTTCACCTACATTAAGTGATCTATCCATGTGACTGGCTAACAGGGCAGCTATGCTTAAAGAATCTTGAATCTAGTCAGTATCTTAGATCTTTATAGCTTGAACTGGCTGTGCAGATATTTCATGTATTCCAGCTTCAGGCTTTAGAGCTCAATGGAGCTGCATGTCCTTTGGGACTTGCTTTCTCTGTCACCATTTTGTAGAAGTGGGGGACTTTTCCTAATACGTGCAAGCTGTCTTTCAACAGCATCCACATATGTGATATTTCAGGTCAAACTCTTTTTGCCACAGATTACCCATGTTTCCAAATGCACTAAGTAACAATATAGATAAATAATTTTAATTGACTATTGACAAGACTACAGAAGATTTGCAGCAGAATGCTTTTTCTTCCCACTACTGTTTTCATCATAGGCACATAATATCTTCCTGTCTAGGAAATCAACTTGGATGACTCGTTGAATCGTTAGAGAAGATCATTCTAAATAAGAATGTGCTAGAGATCTATTTTTTATTTTTTTTGTCGTCACATCAAGGACATCAAGATCATCTGCTGTTGTGGGCTGTTGTCACTGTATATTGCTTAAACCATTACAGTGTCAAATTCCACTTCTAAGTTGGAGTAAGTATGGTGGTTCAACCTCATAGAATACTACGTCTGCTGTCATGATTTTCAGATATTTCCATCGACACTATGATCACCTGCCCATATCTTCATGGCTTGTATACTGAGACACTAAAAGTAATAGCATTAGGAAGTATTAAGTACTTTTAGAACTAATTTATCAGATTTTTCCATCTGGAAGAGAGATCTATCCTGTTGACTTTTAGAAACTTTTCATTTGATTTGATATTATGTTATTCTAACTGAAATTACTCATGTACTTTTACACTTGACTTCTGGTATAAATATATTTACTTTTGTCATCTGCCTGAAATAGAGGTTTTATAGGAGACCTTTCCTATGTTAAACTGTGACTTGATTTCCCAGTAGGAAATCTTTTCAGTCTGGTGATATCTGCTCCATATGTAGCTTTTAATGAAAATAGTTTTCTGATGGCTGTTACGCCTGCTAAAAATAGAATTAATTTCAGAACTTCTCAGTCTTGGATGTTTCCTTTGTAGGGAAATGAGTCCTAATTCAAAAAAATGAGTCCTAACTTAACTCTGAGAAGGAAAAGCTGTGTCTCCATTCCATTTTGATTAAGTTGTCAGTAAATCTGTGCATCTGTGTATCTTCCATACCACAAACAAACAAAAAAGCCTTTCTGTGTCCAGACTGAATAACAGTCAACAATAACATAAAAAAAAAAACCAAACCTGTACATAATCTAGTAGTTTGGGATTTCATGTATTGTTAAGGCATTATTGGCTTCAACTTTGCCTTCAGAAAGGAGAATATGACTATCAGGAAGAAAGTCTTCCTGAATTTGTTGTATTGGTGGGAAAGCAAGGATGGGAAAAAAATGAGGGAAGACACGCATGGAAGCACACAACACTGGTGTTTCTTCCATGCATTCAGAACTGAAGAGCAAGGTGGCAAAACATGATTTCTTCCGTGAAAGAGGGAAAAATGGGGTTGGGGATAAAAGGTGGCGATAAAAGGTGTGAGAAGTACACTGGAAGCTAGGGAAATTTAATTTATTGAGTACATTCCATGTTCTTTGATTTAAAGTATTAATAAAATTCACAATCTTGTCTGGATACAGGAAAAAATGTGTATAGGATCTCTAGGGTAGGAATTCAGGAACTGAAGTCATATAGAAAGACTGAAACTTCTGTTGAAAATACTTGACTAGTGAAGTGTAGAGGAAGTAAGTTTTTTGCATATGATCTAAAGAAGCTATTCTTTTCCTAGGAGTGTTCTGCCTTACCTAATTTAACTGTATAAAGTCTAGGACTGTAGTGGGGTATGAATACTGGCATATAATAATACACATTATATTAAGTGTTTCATAGCAGAGATTTTTCAGAACTGTTGTTTTTCTACAAGTTGAGATTAAGCTTTTATTGAAATCAGCTTTTAAATATTTGCACCAGAAAATGTGATTTGCCTTGTTTTGGTACATCCTGAGTTATACAGAATTTGTGAACTACTTTTATTACTTTGCAACTACTGGGTCATAAACTTGGATTAGTTTTATAGGATTTGGTATATGAGTTGACAGATATGATATATGATGACACTTTATCATTTATTGCTTACACATACTAGTTATTGGGAAAGGATGGGGGCAGTTCACATTAACCACAAGATGGGATTTCAGTTGCTTACCCAAGTGTCTCTCATTCATTCGTTCATTTGCTATCAGTTATAGCAGATATATTGCTTCTTCAAGCCTGTCACACCAATAAATCATTTCAGATTGTATGCATTTGTACAGTGTAGCATGAATTTTAAAGGAAATCTCCTATTTTCTTTTCAATCAGATGAGCAACGTGAAGAGACTACGGCCACGGCTCACTGCTATTCTTTTTAAGCTTCAGTTTGAGGAGCAGGTGAACAACATCAAACCTGACATCATGGCTGTCAGTGCTGCTTGTGAAGAGATAAAAAAGAGCAAAAGCTTCAGCAAGCTGCTGGAACTAGTACTGTTAATGGGAAACTACATGAATGCAGGTTCTCGGAATGCACAGACCTTTGGATATAACCTCAGCTCTCTCTGTAAAGTGAGTTCTGAAATGTCCACGTTGAGTATTACATTTATTTCTTTATTTGTTTTTATTGTACATCCTAAATACCTTATCTTGATGTTTTCTCTGCAGTTAATTATTTGTATTTATTTATTTTTTCTTCTTAATTCTAAACATTAGATGATGATTTGAACAATACAGAGCTTATCTATGTACAGTCGTCTTGTGACTGACTTGCATTTGAACTTTCAGAATATTTCATATTGAGGAAATTATAATAAAAACCAAAACAAACTAAAGCTATGGAAGGACCGTATCAATGTGATCCTGGTTGCACTGTAGATTTACATGTCTGAACACTTCTAAGATTTTAATGTGTTATGAGATAGTTATGATTTCTCTTTCTTATAACATTTTTCCTTATCTGTTTTCCTTTTCTTGTTGCTCAGCTTCATTAGTTTCCAGCTGCTTCTAATTTTCCTTATGTAAAAGTTGAAAGAGTGACAATGTAATGCAAGAAGACATCTATTCTTTCTTGAGTGTTAATTTAAAAACAATTCTAAGCCTAATTGGCTAACCCTATTTAATGCTATAGTTTTTTCCCCATCACCACCATTAACCATTTCACACAATTTGGCACTTCATTTTGTGGTGTCACAGCTTTGCATGGCTGTCCAGAACATGTCTTGTCTTTCATGTTACTGTTGCCACTGCTGAAACACACCACTCACCCCCTCACTGTCCTAACACCCACTGTTTGGTCTCCAAAAACATTCAGCAAGCACCAATGAATGTCAGTGGGTGCCATTTTTTTCCACGTGGAGTTCAATGGCACACTTTTGCTTTATATGCACTTCTATGTCAGATGCCATTTTGTCAGACCACCCCTCTACTGTCGTCTACTGCCAGTGTATAACAACAAAATGTAATAAGGGAATATTGTCAGGAAGGTTTGACCTCTACTGCCATGCCACCAACATCCACTTTCGATGATGTGAGACAACAAAATAACATAGAAGGTATTCATTATTTTTGCATTTCTGAACAAAACGACAGTAATCATGGAATCATAGAATGCCTTGGGTTGGAATAGACATCAAGGATCATCTAGTTCCAACCCCAATGCTATGGGCAAGGTTGCCAACCATGTGATCAGACTGAAAGATGGAAGTGATTTAAGATCACTTATTGCTTACACATACTAGTGATTTAAGAAGCAAAATAATAATAATAATAATAATAAATATATATATATATATATAATATATTTATATTATATTCTGTATGTGGACCAAGACAATTCCTCTTTACTCATTGCATCTCAATTAAGGCAAAAGGTTGGAACTCACGCTCTAGGTTCTCAGTAATCAACATATTTTCATTCATTTTTTTTCCCCTCCAGCAGTGTAGTGTAGCCTCCTATAAAGCTAGATAACCTGTAAGCTTGCAAATCTAACTAACTTGCTTGTCCTGTGCATTTAATACCAGAGCATTGTAGGGTAAGCCATGACCTAAAGTCAGGTCTTCCTATGTAGAGCAGTTCAAGCTCTATTTTTATTTACTACACCTTAAATTATTTATCCAAGATCATTCCATATTTATTCTGCTTTGCAAAATGCTTGTGATAACTGCCTTCATACTGTTATGGAGACTGACCAGTGTGTGTTAGCACAGTGAGACAGTTGGTATGTTTCAGCAGTGGCAACAACTACATGAAAAAAAATCCACAATCCAGACAGCCATGCACATATTTACAAGCATGATATGCAGGCTTTTGTTCATTGCTGGTGAAAATATATAGTTAATGGTAGTGGGTATGTAAGCAAATAGTGCTTTGTAGCTGAGAATTTATAGGGTTATTGTGCTCTTTGTATCTGTTCTGTTTTCCATTAACATAAATAGGAGGCATTATTTTTGGAGCAACCTATGTAGTTAACTTGTTAGGAATTGGGTTTCTTAGAATCATGGAATAATTCAGGTTGAAATGGATGTCAGTAGACACCTAATCTTCTGCTCAGGAAAAATACTGATTGCTACTAATAGACTGTTAGTGAATTAAGTATAAAGATATATGCTATTACAGAAAAAGGTAATTCTCTCCTTATAATCAAAATGCCTAGTAGGGTGTAATTTTGATATTACATCATGTCATACGATTAGAAATGGGGATACTATTTTGCATCTTTCAGGACTTCTTTAATTATACATAATCATAGTATTCGATATATTTCATTTACTTAAGAAATATACAAATTAAAAATAAAGTTCAAATGGCAAAGTTTTCATACATATTTGATTTGGCATTGCTTCATACTGATTGTTTTAAAATGCCAGACCATTTGGTTAAAAACTTCTTTTCTTGAGTGAGGTAATGCTGCCTTAATGGTAGTTGGGAAGTATTGGGAAGCTATTTAGTAAGTACGTGATTGCCAAGCCTTCATTGGTTATGAAACTGTGTCTTGAAACACAGAGGTGGAAGTATGTGTAATTTTTTGTATTTTTCTGAGCAGCGTGTTCTGTCTTAGTTAATGTATAATCCCTTCTGTTCTGAGAATAAGAAACTGATTCAATTGTTACAAAAAATGAGTGTTAAATTGAAAGATGATCCCACCCAAGCCACTATTTCTTGACTGAAAAGCTATGAGGCTACCAATTGCAGACTGCTTGGTGTTCTGCTCAGTATTTTTCAGTAAGGTTTCACAGTAAGGTTGCTATTCTCTTTTTTGACTATGGCTGAGAAACTCAATGAGTTATCCGTTTTGCAAAGATAAACCCATATCTTTACTTCTTCCTGCATCGTGAAGAATTGAAATGTAAATAAGTCTGCTACGTACACTGAGAAGAGAGATACGATGTTGGTGTGCCAACAGTAATTTATTAACTACTGATATATTAAACATAAATGCGTGTTTGTAACCCCAGTTTATTTTTAAAACTAACTTTTTATGATTACATACATTTTAAGCAGAGTCTCATTGTAGAAATTGTGTGATGTTCCAACAGTTGAGATATTTATTGCTGAGAATCTCGATACAGTAGAATTAATTTATTTTATTACAGTACATGTAGTAGTGACCCTATTTTTTTTTTTTTTTGTTTCAATGTATATGAATTTCATGAGTTTATTTTGAAAATTGTCTCACATTAACATACTTGTGTAAAGGAAAAAAAATGGAGGCACATAGCTCATCAGATTTATTGTTTGTATCATCTTGATCTTAGAAAACAATTGATGACTTTTAACAGGAATGTATGAAATGCTGACTTGATTGTTAAGCACCATCCAGAATTCTCTGTTTCAGTTTGACACTATGGGAAAAAAAAAAAGTTTCTGATTTTCTGACTTTTATATCAAGCCAATCAGATGGCTACAACAGAAACGTATAACTGAATGCTTGCTTATTGTTAGTTGTTAGTATTTTTACATACATAGATAAAAGTCCTAAACTGATCAGGCTTGAAATCATTTTTGTGTGTACAAAAGATTCAGACAGAAAATTTTATGCTTAACGATTTTGGAAGTCTAACTTTTTAATGTTCAGGTCTGTGAACTGAACTATGACTTGTGCAAACTGAGATTGCAGCTTACACTTCTTGCGTGTTAAGCCAGAGTTAGCATCACAGGTAAGGAGTCATCCTATGAAGGGTATATTTACATCATTTATTGATAAATTTTGCAGATTGAGCTCTGAATTATTTGTTTACATTATCATAAATCTGATCATGATTTCACAGACACTGATACATTGCTTAAATAAATACATTTTAAAAGAAAAACATACACTGTTTCTTAGAAATGAACTCAAATATTTCATGGAAAAAAATATTTAATTCTTACTTTCATCAAGGATGGAAATATGAATCCATTACTTCAGGTTTTCTCCAAGAACTGTTCCAGTTCAACAGTTTGTTCTTATCTTTTTTCTTATTCACAATTAGCAATATATATTAATTACCAAATATTCAGAGGCAATCTTATCCTCAGTGTTTTAACACTTTTTTTTTTCTTGCCTAGCTGAAAGACACGAAGTCAGCAGATCAAAAAACAACACTGCTCCATTTTCTTGTAGAAGTGTGTGAAGAAAACTATCAAGATGTTCTGAATTTTGTTGAAGATTTTCAGCATTTGGATAAGGCTAGTAAAGGTTTGTATAACTAATTGAGTGCATTGCAGTACTTTTTTTTTTTTTTCCTGTGAGACGATGCTTGTTTTATACTAATATTATTTTTAGAATGTGCATTATTGGTCTATATCAATGATCAGTAACTTTTGCTCCTGCAAGTGTTCTTGAATATAGTATATCATTTCCATCCTTTTTAATTACAGGATTTCCCATAATACTTCTTCTAACATGTCCTTTAGATTCAGTTTCCAGAAGAGATTTCTTCTAGAAGTTCTTATCTGTTAAAAGCCTATAGGGTGTGTGCAGTTGCTAGTCAGTTCCTAATAACATGCTTATTTGTTGGACCACCTTACCAACAAAATGTGGGCCTCGATCTGAGATTGCTGCAGGAACCCAAACTTTGGAATTATTTCACGTAACAGCACTTAAGTTACCTCCCTGGCCTTATTAGTCCTACAGGGGAATACCTCTGGCCACAGTAGAAAGGTATCAGTACCAACATACAGCAATACACCCCTTTTCTTGGGAGTTCCGAGAAATCAATTTGCCATTGTTGCTCCGGAAGGTTTCCTTTCCCAAGAGTATCCTGTTCCTGGTACTAAGATCATACTTTGTAGTGTCTGTTTGCCCAATATATTTTCTCATCCTGCCCTAGAACCAGTTGTCTCGCTCCAATTTATAGGAGGGAGAGGAGGTTCTTTTATTATCTATATACCCAGCGTGAGATTAAGAAGCAACGGTTCAAATGTTGGCCCAACCAGTTTATTACAAATCTTAATCAGGGAAATGGGGAAGGGGAAGACGGACACTATTATGAATTAGGGTAATGGGGGAAGGGAAGGAGGGCGATAGAAAAGATAGAAGAGAAGAAGCAAGGAGTCTTTATAGGCAGCAAGAGGGACATAGTCACCACCATGGATCCAGTGAGGTTTATAGTTCAGTCTTTGATCCTCAGTAGTGGTGGGTCGTCGGGCATTATTGTTCCATTGACGACAACGACGAACAACGACCACGGCGATGATGGCCTTTTTTCAATAGTTTTGAAATGTTCAAGTCAGCTGTCTTTGGAGTGACAGCTCAAATCCAAAGTGGTTGAGTCAGCTCTCCTTTGAGTGGCAGCTTCTGGCTCTCAGCAGAAACTCCTTTGTTCCCATCTTCTGGGCCTTGCCAGCAGATAAGAGGGAGCAGGGATGCCCATCTGCATCCTGTTTCTCACAGAACACGATGGTATCGTTCCCCAATTTTCCCTCACCTAGCTGGAGCTGTTTAGTCACAGGCTAGATCTTCCACCAGTAAACACTCCTGAGCACTCTCATCTGCTCTTAAGCAGCTCTAGAGGAAGGGACTTTCAAATGTTCCCAAAGCGATATCGATTGTCACACGGTTAGCACCCATTAGTTGCCTCCTCAACAAATCACTCAGAGTCTTATTGCAAGAAATACCTCAGGAAGCAAGCTTTGAGCCAAAAAAAACAAAGGATTCTCACACCAGTTTCCAGAAAATACTAAAGGGCATAACAATGTGTCCATCTGGGCATGCACCCATCTGTCAGCTTGCTCTCTTCCCTTCTAAATCATTAATTAAATTTCTATACTCTTTAGAATATTTTACAGATTCTGATTCGGATTCAGAGATTTTAAGTTCACCGTCTGAAATTAAAGCCTTCTTCAAGTACCTATTCTGCCACCTGATCCATCATCTTTTTTCCAGTACAGTATTACCTTTCTGATGTCTTTTACAGTGTATAATCACCATTGGTCGATTTACATCATGCTGTTTTCCTTGTGTGTGAGCAGTCCTTGCTTTCTTCAGATGGTACTACGAGCATGTAGCATCCCAAATACATAATTAGCATCTGTCCATATATTCAAGACTCTTGTCCAGGCATTTATTTCAGCCTTCTGAGGGAAAGTCACCACAGGTAATGGCTAGTAATGGTTGTGCTTTGATTACCTTGTCAGTAGCAGTTACTGCATATCCTGTCTTATGGTTTCCTTGTCTCACAAAACTGCTACCATCAGTAAACCAGGTGTCTTCTCAATCTTCTAAGGGTTTGTCCTTCAGGTCCAATAGGCTCAAAGCACTCATGAAATACTGGTTCTCCAGGAGTTCCACTAAGGAAAGATGCTGGATTGACAATATTAGTTACAATTATTTCTACATCATCCTGCCCTACCAGGATGGCCTGAGATTTCAGGAACCTTCAGGGTGAGAGCCAATGCCCCCCTTTTACCTCCAATACAGTAGACACTGTATGAGATATTAAAACTGTTATTCTCTGGCCTAGCATAAATTTACTGGCTTCTTGAATATTTGAATATTGAATCTTGAATACTGAATATTGAGTACTAGTGCAGCCACTGCCCTCAAGCACCCTGGCCATCCCTCACTTCATCAAGCTGTTTGGAGAGGTGTGCCACAGCCCTTTGACAGGGGGCAAGGCCCTTCAACGTTCTGCGCAAGGACTCCCAGGGTTATTCCTTGTTTTTCATGCAAGAACAGCCAGAATGGTTTGGTCATGTCTGGTAGCCCCCAAACAGGGGGGCCTTCATGAGTTCTTGTTTCAACCGAGAGAATGTCTCCTTGCCTCCCCATTTCATATAATACTTTGGCTTTACCAACAGTCCGTAGCTGTGTATGCACAGTCGGCATCATCCTCTCATTCCTGGGAACGTATGGAGCTCCTTGGCAGTTTGTGGCTCAGGGATTTGGCAGGTGGCTTCTTTCCTGACAGTCCTTAATGTTTGAAGTCCAGTTGTAATCTCATATCCCAAATATGTCACTTGCCATGGAGTTATTTGTGCTTTCTGTTGAGAAACTTGATAATCATTTAAACCAAGAAATTCAGCAAACTCACAGTCCATTGCACACAGTCCTCTTCTGTTTCCATGGCATCCACACACTGCAGTAAGATTCTACCCTGGGATGGAGGAATCCAAATCTCAGGCTCACAAGTTGACCAGCTCTCAAAAATCACTGAGCTGTTCTCACAACCCTGGGTAACATTGTCCAGGTTAACTGAGTCTTTTCTCCCAATGTTAGGGTTTTCCTATTCAAAGGCAAATAACCTTAAGCCTCCCTTGACCAAACCAGGCAGAAAAGGTGTTTTTCAAATCCAGAAAGTAAACTACACCTACTAATTCCTTAACTTGGTTAATAAAGTACATGGATTTGCCACCACTGATTTTATGCATTCAACTATTCTATTAATTGCCCTCAAATCTTGTACCAAACTATAGCATCTTGTACCAACTATAGCTATAGTTGCATTGTATTTGGATACATATTCAGACTCCAAAAAATGATCTATTATTTCTTTTATCCTTCTACAATCACATATCCTCAAAGGGCACTGCTTTACCCTGACTGGGCTAACTCTTGCTTTTAACTTAACTACTATTTAGGGCTGCAATTTTGGTTCTGCCAGGTATCCCTGATATCTACACATCTAAGCATACCTTATTTAAGATTTCTGTAGCTTCTGGAGGTACAACCTTGTTTCTCCCAGTTTGTGTTAAATCCAAACTTAACAATTTTCAATCAGTTAATACTGATGGATCCTTAGCTCCAATTTTATTGAATTTAATCTCTGCATTCATTTGTTCTAATAAATCTTGCCAGAGTAACCTGGTATATACAAGAATTTATGTATTCCTACTTGTTTTCTCAGCCTATATTTAAATGATCCCAAAAGCAAGCCTTTTTTTATTGAGCAGTAACACCTACTACTTTAACCAAATCATCTACAGGTGGTAAGAGGCACACATACCCACCAAAAGATAAACCTCTTTATCCTGCTCCCTTAGCTGCAGTTTAACCAGTGGATCTACTAGGGTAAACTTCCCAGATTTCCATCCTTCACCTTTGCAATCAGAGACAGTTCCCTCTCACTCAGCTTGGTAGGATTTCTCCACCAGTGTTCCATTTCCCTTCAGTTTGCACACTGCTTCCTGTTCCAGTGGGGTGGAGTCCTCCCTGGGTTCTTCGAGCCCCCCCCTACCTCTCTCTGAGGAAATCTCTGGATCCTATGGCCCTAATCTAGTGCCACAACAGTAACAACTGCTGTTATTCCCAATTTCTTTACTATCCCTGTTTCTCAGTCAGTTTTTTGTTGTTGTTGTTGACGACTTTGTTTTTGTTTTTTTTTTTGTTGTTGTTGTTTTTTTGTTTTTTTGTTTTTTGTTGTTTTCATATCGCTCACCTCTCTTCAGTCCTGACAACCCTTTTACACCCTGCTCATCTTTGCCTTCCTCACCCTGTGTCCTTCCCAAACTTTTTCACTTTCCAAACTCTCATCATTACATAAACTACTAACATGATATTTCAGTTTCACCTCCTCCTCTCCAGGGGCTTCTAGTGCTAACACTGAGATTTCAGGTTTCCTAGATCTCTGCAGATGAAGGCTACTCTCACTTCCAGTGCCCTACCCTCTCCACCTCCCCCTTTGCAAGTAATGCTGTTTACAGCAGCAGTCTCTGTCCCTGGCTCTCTCTCTCACACCAAGTTCTGCTCACAGGGGAACGGTGTGGGAGGGTTGCTCTCATGCCAGCGCAGATAAACTCACTTTCTTTTTAACCCTTTTTTCCTTTGCAAACTATCCCACTATTCATACCCTCAGTTACATTTCCACATACCCTCAATTATACTTCCGTATACCATTAACAATTGCACTTTCTTATCCCATCAAAACAGTTTGTCCCATTCCCTTCAAAACCCAGAAATCAAACAATACAGTTCTTCAGTTTCCATAAACACCCTCAATACCATATAGCATTCCCCTAACAATCCATGTCCTTTGGTTGTAAACATCTTGCTACAGAACTAGCACTGATTGACCCATCTCCCTCATGCACCTCATCACAAGCAGAACACGATATTACATAAACAAGTTTACACTCATTCCCTGAATGGAATGGGAATCTCTCTATGGGTTCATCATCCCCATTCATACAAAAATGTAAAGACAGATAGTCAGACAACGATCGTTGTTATACTCCGCACTCGCCCTGCAGCTGTGCCAC